TGCTGAAATACAAAACAATTATGTTTTATTCAATCAAATTAGAAGGGTAGTTATACTAAAAACATTAATATGACATCAAATGATTCAAGCAACATTTCATTTGATTTTCGTTAACTTTTCAAATAATAGTAGCAAAAAGAATAATTATCAACTATAACTTCATATTATTCAATTGTATATAAACAAACTTACTGCAGTTGTTAGTTTGAAGAGCGAATTGTTGCACTCGACTATTATTTCGATCAGTAACATAAATGTTTCCATAACTGTCAAAAGCCATGCTTTGTGGAAAAGATAATTGATACATAGTTGAACCACCTCCCGAACATCCTACTATACATCGAAAACCAGTAGAACTTGAACCAACAATACGATGATTATAACTATCGACAATAAAAAGATAACTATTAGCATCAAGGACAATTCCAGTTGGATAGTTAAGTATAATATTTGCTGATGATCCATTACCAACGATTGCCACTCCATTTAATTGACCAGTTTGGACGAATTGAATACGATTGTTAGCACTGTCTGCAATATATAGATTTAAATTACTATCAACATAGATTCCTTGTGGAGAATTAAGCATATTTGATAGTGATCCTGCAGAACCATTACCGGCTGCAATTATCGGAATAGTTGTACCATTATTACGTAAGAGTTTAACAACTTGATGAAGATTTTTAAGTGAACAATAAAGATTATTACTAATATCAACAAATAAACCATAACAACTTCCATTAACATTCATAACAGTAACACGATTTGATGTATTAAATGTATATTTATCTACCCGACCATATGAATAACCATTATCAATATAAATATCACCAGTCATAGACATAAAAAGACTATATGGATTACTTAAATTACTATAACTATTACTTGTTGATGTAGTACTCCATTGAGGCCATGATAAAATAGTGTTACTAACTCGATTAGCTACATACACAGTATTAATTCCATTAATAAAAATACCATAAGGTAATGTACCAATTGTACTATTCGATGCAAAAGTTGACGCATTAGAATACCATAAAGCATTGTAACAAAATGTTGGTTGATTATAAGAAAGACCTAAAATAAATATATGTATATCATCAAAAATATAAATTAAAAATAACTTACTACATGAATTTGATGCTATTATAAACTTTTGCACTCGACCATTACCTCTATCAACAACATATAGATTCCCATAACTATCAAAGCTAAGACTTCTTGGATAATCAAATTGATTAGATGCTGAACCGGTAACACTTGCACATCCAAACAAACATCGAAAACCATATGGTCCTGATCCAATAACTCGTTGATTGTTTTGATCCACGATGAAGAGATAACCATTGGCATCCAATGTAATTCCATTTGGACAATCGAGTGAAATAGTTGATGGTGCTCCGCTTCCAACTATAGTTATTCCAT